CCAAATAGCTTCTGCCAACAAGGTGGGCTATTTGCACTTACTTTAAATAGACAATGTATTTGGAACTACTTTTATTGGCGAAATAGAGCAAATCAGACAATACTGTTCTTTAATGTAAGTCAATCAATATTAGCTTCTTGTTTTTGAATTTCATAAAATCAGTCACATTACATCACATGCTAATATTCATTATATTAGTACTTATGATGAGATGAGTACTTATATTATATTAGTATTTATGATGAGTAGCGATATTAAATATTTGATTGCCAACAGATTTACCAAGCTGTCATTCAAACAGTATATACAAATTTTAAAAAAGGGAACACACGCCTAACTGGATATAGGCTACAGCAGTCGGCTTAATTAAATGGCACAACAGGCAGCTCTCTTTTAACACAGACTTTTAAGAAGGGACCACTGATGTTAATGCTATGAGTAGGCTAATATGGCCAAATACATTATTTTGTTTTATAAATAGCCTAAGTTTTCATTTAAAAGCAGCCCACAATCAGCACATTATTTTACCATTACCCTTTATGGCTCCGACAAGGTTTTGTTCTGTCTTCCACACGGTGCCAAATCACACCGGGAGCAATTCGCGAGACGACGAGATTCTGGGAACGCGGCTAGTTTAAACACAAGCATTAATTAGAGCAGGGGTAGGCAAGTTCGGTCCTAGAGAGCCGCAGTCCTGCAGAGTTCAGCTCCAACCCTGAAAAAAAAGCCCTGAATTAGAGCGTCCGCATTAGGGCCGTAACGCGCCGCAGATGTGTGCAGTGATGTGCAGATCAGCTTTAACGTCACTGAATCTGTTGTTAAAAATGAACCATTCATTGGTCAAGGGACGTCGAGGAAATAATCGACCGAGTGGTACTGGAGTAGTTCATGGCACGGCTGCCGAGGAAGACTGCCCAGTGGGTCCAGTGCCACCGCCCGACGTCGCTGAACCAGGCCATCCAACTGGCGGAGGCGGGTCCGGCCAGCGGCAGCCTGGCGGTAGCTCCTGTTCCGCCGCTCTCTCCACACCAATTCCTTGACCCACTTCCTGCCACTAGGGCGGCGGGGAGGCCTGGGCCGGCCTGCTGGCGTTGCGGGGACCCAGGAACGGAGCGCTGTTGAGAGGAGAACCCTCACAACATGCGATGACTTTCCCCTGGAGCACTGCCAGAACGAAACGCTCAAAAATGCTTTTGAACAGGTCCGTTCCATCGACGGACTGGGAACATGAGCCACCCGGGAAGCCGGGCTGCTGGAGCACAAAGCATATATAGAGCTATATTCTGAGTTATTGACGGAGAGTTTGAATGCGCAGTGAGCGCCTTGTTCTGTTGTATTTACTGAGAGACTTGAATAAACACTCGCGTCCCAGTCCGCCGACCCTGTCTTCTTCCTTCCTCCCTCTTGAACCATATCACAAGATTATGC